AAAAGTTTCATTGATAGTTTGATTCACAGATCAAATAGCCTTTTCTCAGACCTCATCCTTCTTGATCTCTTCACCATATTTCACATTGTTGACCACCTACAGCTTCTGGACACTGCATTTTCTTCTGCCTAGCTGACTTTTCCTGAGTTTTCAATCATTGAAACTCTTGAACACTAAATATGCATATACCTGAAGGCTCTGTTTTGGGCCACCTTCTCTTTTCTGTTTACATTCACTTTACATTCATCAGCTATCTTGGATTCAATTACCATTTCTATGTCAATGACTCTCAAATGGATATGTCTAGCCCTAGTGTCTCTCCTGAGCTCCAGTTCTTAATTACCATTCCCTGTTGGATATTTTGAACTGGTGTTCCATTGTTATCTCAGACTCAATATGTATAAAATAGAACTTAATATCTTTCCCCTTGAATCCATACTTATCTCAGACTTTCTTGTTGTCTAATGTACTACCTTCTGTTTTCATTCCTCAGCCTCAGTTACCCCATATAGTTGCCAAATCTTGTCATTATTTTATCTTTGACGTCTCTTGAGTAAATCCTCTCTTAATGACTCACAGCACTACCCTGTTTAGGTCAATGTTACCTCCTACCTGGACTATTACTACAGCTTCCTCTTTGGTCTCCATACCTCAAGCCTTTCCCCAATTCCATTCCATCTTCCATACAGTTGTCAAAGTGAGTTTTTTAAAGCAAAGCAAAGGGCTTAGTATTTTACCTCCTCCTATTCCCCCCCCCAAAAAAAACCCAACAGCAACAAAAAAAACAACTCTAGTGACTTCCTTCGAGGATCAAATATAAACAACTCTGGCCTTCAAATCTCTTTATAAACTGTCCCCTTCCTACTTTTCCCACCATCTTACACAGGGGTAGGGAATCTGTGGCCCTTTAGGTCTTCAGATGCCACCCTTTGAGTGAATTCAAACTTCACAGAACAAATCTGCTTAATAAAAGGATTTATTGTGTGAAACTTGGACTCAGTGGAAAGGCTGCACCCAAGGGCCTAGAAGGCCATATGTGGCCTCCAGGCCATAGGCTCCCACCCCTGTTTACATATTACCACCCTCCATTCACTTGGTCCAGCCATACCACCTGTTTATTCTTCTGCACACATAGCAGTTCAGTTTCCTCCTGTCTCTGTATTAGCTGTCACTTATACCAGGCATTCTTACCTCAAACTATGGGGGTTTCTTTTAAGACTCAGCTCAGTACCACCTTCTGCATAGTAGCAGCTGATTCCTAGCTGCCAGTGCACTCCCTCCCAAAGCCACCTTGTATTCATTTTGTATATATTTGTCTATGTACATGTTGAGGAAAGAGCCTTTTCACTTTTGTCTTTGTATTCCCCTGTACTTAGCAAGTACCTGACATAAGAATTGGGATAGGGACAGGGCCTGAACCATTGATGTAGAGAATTTCCAGATGAACAGCCTCCCTCTACTAATGTTGGTCAGCATCTTCTCTGAAACTTAGCGTCTTAGACAGTTGCTTACACGGCTGACGCATTGTGATTGTCCAGGTCACAGCCAGTGTTTGTCAGAGGCAGGACTTGCACTTGGATCTTCTAAATGCCTAAGGCAGATTCAGGAGCCATTTGCTGTATCAGGTGGTTAAAATTTGTTGATTGATTAGGGAGTCACAGAATTTGAGAATTGGAAGAGATCTCAGCAGGCATTTAGTCCAACTTGTACATTAAAAAATCTCCACTAAGGGCAGCTAGGCTGCACAGTGGATAGAGCACTGGCCCTGGAGTCAGGAGGACCAGAGTTCAAATCCAGCCTCAGACATATGATACTTACTAGCTGTATGACCCTAGCCAAGTCAATTAACACCTCCCCCACCTCCACCCCCATTGCCTCACCAAAAAAAAAAAATCTCCACTGCCTGAAAACCTCCAAGGAGGGGGAATCTAGCTCCTGTTGAGACAAACCAATCTGTTTTGGGACTGCTATCATTTCAAGGAAGCTTTTTTTTCCTTTCTGATAATGCATCTAAATTTGCCTTTTTTCAACTCCCACCTATTACTCCTGGTGTAGTCCCTCATCCACAAATATTTGAGCAGAGTTATCATATTCCCCCTGAGTTTTCTTTTCTGTAGGCTACACATGCCCCGTTCCTTCACTGGATATGTCTGAACTCATGGCCTTTCATGGTTGCTCTCCTCTGGATGCTCCAGCTTATCACTGTCCTTATACCTCTGTGTCCAGAACTGAATACAATAGTCCAGGTAAAGCTTTACTAGGACAGAATACAGAAATATTATCACCTCCCTTCCTGTGCTCTTCCTACTGCGGCAAGAGGTTGCATTAGTTTTTGGCTGCCATATCACACTGCTGACTCACATTGAGCTCCTTGCAGTCCACCAGAATTCCCAGATCCTTTTCAGGACAACTGCTGGTCTAGCCATGATTAATTGAATAAATATTGATTGAATTAAACAGAATACATTGTCCCCAATGGGGAAGGGAACAAGCATTTATTAAGCACCTAATATGCCCCAGGCACTGTGCTAAGCTCTTTACAAATACCTTATTTGATCCACTGTGCCACCTATAGAAGAGCTGGGTCTGGAGTCAGGAAAGGAGTTCAAATGTGACCTCTGACCTTCACTAGCAGTATAACTCTGGGTAAGTCACTTAACCTGTCAACTACATTTTCCTCAGCTGTAAAATGAGGATAATAAATAGCACCTACCTCTCAGGATTCTTCTGTGGTTCAAATGAGATAACATTTATGAAGTTTTTAGCAAAGTGACTGGCACTTAGTAGATGCTACATAAATGCTAGCTTTTATTACTACTATTATAAAAGGAAAATGGAGAGATTTTCAAGAATGAAAGGATACTCTATAGTGACAGAAGCAGTAGAGAGGTCAGAGAATAAGCACTGAGGGAAAAGTCAGTGCATTTGGACATAAGGAAGTCAGCTGGAAGAAAGGTTCTGTAGGGTGATGACAGAATCCAGATTACAAGGGGTGGATGGTGAGGAAGTGAAAGTACAACTGTAAACTCTTGAGAAATGTGATTTATTGGGGAACAATTAGGAGACTAGACTGCAGGATTGATATACTGCTTGGGAAGGGGTGGGAGTTTGAATGGGGAGGCTACAAAGAATGATGTAAGGATTTGCTCTCCAGGGGGTGGGAGTGGGACCTGGTTAAGAGGCAGATTTGGTGACCCATCGAAAATGAGCATGATTTTTCAGGGGAGGAGATGGATATTCAATGAAATAGGGGATTTCCAAACCTTCCTGATAAAAAGACTAGAGCTCAACAGAAAATTTGATCTTCAAATACAAAACTTAAGAGAGACATAAAAAGGTAAATGGGACAGAAAGAAATATCATGTTATTAATAAGGGCAAATTGTTTATATCCCTACAAGGGAAGATGACACTTGGAACCCTTTAGAATTATATTGTTATTACACCATGTTAAAGGGGTATACGTAAAGGCGGTAGGTATAAGTTGACTTTGATGTAATGATAAAAAAATCTAATCAAGTAAGTTAAATGGATCCAAGTAAGTGGATTAATCTGATCTAAGAAAATGTACTGAGAGAAAAGGAAATGAGGAGGCAAGACAAGGGTAAATTATGTTACAGAAAAGGCACAAAAACCTATTGTAGCAGAGGGAAAGAAGAGAGGGAGATGAGCATTGTTTGAACCTTACTCTCATCAGATTTGGCTCAAGAAGGGAATAACATAATCAGTTAGGTACTAATATTGATAAGACTTTAACCCTTCTCAGCAATTCAAGAATCTAAGACATCTCTAAAGATAGAAAATGCCATCCATGTCTAAAAAAAGAACTATGGAGTTTGAATATAGATTGAAGCAATACTATTTGCTATTTTTTCTTCTTCTGTTGTGTTTTGTTTCCTCTTTCTGGTGGTTCCTCCTATTGGTTCTAATTCTTACAACATCACTAATGTGAAAATATATTTAATAGGAATGTATATGTATAGCTGTCTTGGAGAAATTTAAAACTCAAAAGCTTATGGAAGTGATGGTTGATAAATCAAAATAAATTAATTTTAAAAAAAAATGATGAGCAGATAGACTTCAGAAAAACCTGGAAAGACGTATATGAACTGATGCTGAGTGAAATGAGCAGAACCATGAGAACATTGTACACAGTAACAGCCATACTGTTCAATGACTGTCTTGTTTAGACTTAGCTCTTCACAGCAACGCAAGATTCTAAGACATCTCCAAAAGTCTCATGATGGAAAATGCTATCCACACCCGGAGAAAGAACTATGGAGTCTGAATGCAGATGGAAATATACTATTTGCTCTCCTTTTCCTTTGTTGTTTTGTTTTATTGCTTCCTTCTCTCATTTCCTCCCATTAGTTCTAATTGTTCTTTACATCATGACTAATGGGAAAATATGCTTAATATGAATGTATAAGTAGAGCCTATATCACTGTCTTGGGGGGAGGTGAAAGGGGAAGGGAGGAATTTAAAACTCAAAAATCTTATGGAAGTGAATGTTGAAAACTAAAAATAAATAAATTAATTATAAAAAAAAAAGAGGCCAATTGGTGATCCTGCCTGATCAGGCCTTTCCCGAAGAGTAACAGGCCTGCAAAGCTATCCACTCAAGACTACGCTTCCCAGCATGCCCTGGAAAGTAGCGAGCTTTTGAAGCATGCGTGGGCATATGGTTTGGGGGACGGAGGGCGGTCAGGGACAGAACTTCTTTACCTCTGGCTGCTCTTGAGGAGACAGTGAGGAGGGACGGTGGTTAGACGACCCTACAACATCATTTCCCACATGGTTTTATTAGTTTAATAGACCTTCTTCCTTGAGGAGGCATTCCCACCATTACGTCCTCAAGTTTCCCGCGGGCTTCGCCCTTTCTTTAGCAACCAATCACAGCTGCGGACTGTACCTGATTGGTCTATCCGCTACGACTTTGGAGCCTGTGTGGGCGGGGAGAGAGCTCTCATCCTCGCCTTGCGCGGGGAGGACGTACCTACGGTGAGCTAACCCAAGGGTGAGGTTTGCGCATGTGTGAACTTCCTTTCGCCGCGTTCGCCCTCGGATGCCGCGGGTGTCACCGAGCCGTCTGCCCCTGCTAGTCTCCGCGCTGCCAGCCTGGCTGGACGTAGGCTCTGGAGAAGCCCTGAGAAATATCCGGGCAGTAGCCGGGGAGCAGGATGTCCCCAGGCTCCCCCGCGCCCCCGACTCACCCGGGCTGCCTGGGCCTGTGGAGGGAGGAAAACGATCGACTGGTCCGGCAGTGGAGGGTAAAGTTCGGCTTCTATGATTCCCCTACCCTGTCCACAGAGACACCCCCCTTCCCGCCCATGTAGCCCCCCTTTTGACACTGCTCACTGACAGCCTCCCTTGGACCGAAAGCTTCCCCTCACTGACAGCCCCGCCTCCATCGATAACTGCCCCCCCCATGACAGCTCCCCTTCCATTGACAATTTCCTCCCACTGACAGCTTCCCCTCCCCCCCACTGACAGCTTCCCCTGCACTGCAGGCTGCACCTCCCACAGCTTCCCCCACTTACAGCTCTCTGCCCTATCTTAGAGTCCTCCCACCGACACCCCCACAAGGTACTCTGTGTGCCTTTCATCGAGCCCCTTACTGAGCTCAGCTGTGCATCCTTCACTGACCCACTCACCAAACCACCCAGGCAAGCCACTGAAGACCCATCCCCACTTAGAGCCCCCATTGAACCTTTTCTTGAGTCCCCTGCTGAATTCTTCCTCTGTTCTCCCCGGAGAAACAGCAGCCTAGACAGTTTCTGGGCCTCATACCCAAGAGAGGTATCTGTAATTCATAGCCTGGAAACTAGACCCATCTCAGGCCTCAGTCTGTGGCTGCTCAGGTGCTGTGGGGTGGTGGGAGTACCTCCAGTGACAGCTTTCTGTGTTTAGCAGGTGGTGGCTCAGGGCTCTGGACAGTCCTTGAAGCAACAGGCTGCTCATCATGTCCTTGGGGGATTCAGGGGGCTTCTCCACAAGTTGCAGGGTATGGCAGGAGTGGGGATGGGATCAAAATGGGGAAAGGAGGGCATTAAGAGTGAGGGATCTTCGTCTCTAGGACTCTCAGAGATTGTCCCTTTTTGGGAACAGGAAATAAGGAAGCCTAGTTTCTGCACCCCAGGAGAATTATTGATCTTGTTCAAAGGACAGTTTTGTGCAGTAGGAGGGGTTTCACTCAGTTGAGGAGGGTAGTTCATTTGGAGGGGAACAGATTTCCAGATGTGAGGCTCAGTCTAGACCCTAGGTCTTTTAAGTGGAGGTGGTGGAAATTCTCTTGATTGAAAGGGGGAATTTACTGACTTTGGGAAAAGACAAGGGGGAAGGTTTGGTTGAAGGAGCTCTTAGTGATTCCTGATGTATGACTCTAGGGCTGCCTTCAGCTCTTTCTGTCCTTCCTCTGGAGCTGACTGTCCTGGGTAATACCCTCACCCTGGAGGTTAGCTTGGCCCAGCGATTCATGAAGGATCATGCTTTGGACATCCAGCGGGGCCTGGAAAGGGGTGAGGGCCACATACTGATTCTTTCCCCAAATGACCCACTATCCTGACCACCACTAATCAACCTTTCCCTTACCTGGAACTTCCCAGCTCCCCCCCCCACCCCCACTTCATAATAACCTCTCCTTAAATCTTGGCTAGACTCTCAACCATTCCCTCAGTCCCTCTCCCCAACTACAGAAGTTTATGGGACAACAGCCTATGACTTCTATCAATAGACCAGCTTTTGTGCTCTTCATTCTTGAGTGTAGGCCATCCTGTGGGACGGGTTGGAGTGAAAGGTGGGGGAGCAAAAGTCACAGTTTATCGGAAAAGGGGTGGGGTAACATGAGGAAAGATTATGTAAGTTGTCTTGGCTTCTCTGAGTGCCTTCTCTAACCATGTATGGCTCTGTAGTGCTAAATGCCCAAGGGATGCCACTGCCCCAGGAAGGGGACTTATGGAAGACCATCTTTCAAAACCCCTTCATACCTTCTGAGATGTTATCCCCCCTACATCACTTGCTGGGCCTACAAGGGGCCATGTGGCTGACAGATAACCGTCCCGGAGATCTAGCTATACTCTTATGTGCCATGATGAATAGCCAGGTGAGAAATAGTGGCAGTGTATGTCCAGAGCTCTTTTCCCCAATCCTGTGCCCCCCATAAATTCTCCCCTTCCCTGTTCTGACTGCCTCCCCAGTGTGTTGACCTCTTGAGTCCACCTGGCCCCAATCTGGGATGCTAATATTTGGGGAGGCAGGGATGTAGGAGTTTTGGGCTGTGGCTGGAGTGGGGCTGGGTTAGTGAAAAGAGAGGAGGGGCAGAGGAGAGCTCTCTCTGTGGCACAATGATAGGGGTTCCTTAGGGGAGAGTTGGTGGCTGGATTTCTGGGACTTTTGAGGTCTCTAACTCTAGCTTCTTGCCAAACAAGTACAAAGAGAGTGGGGTTCCTCTCCTTGGACTTACTGAGGACCTGCTGTCACTGCTAAGTGTGTGGGACCCCTGCTTTGAAGAGTTGGATGCTCCATTGACCCTACAGGATGCCAGGAGTCTGAGGGATGTCCTTCTTACAACAGCTGCTTTCCACCAAGGTGAGCAGAGGGCCTAGGTTTGTGCCCCTACACTCAGAAGGGAAATGGGTTACGTATTCTCCTCCTTCTAGCCCCAAGGAGTTCCTCTTGTAGAGCATATCCCCTTCTCTTGCCAAGCATATGCCCCTTACCTATGTGGTCAATGGGAAGGGCAAGGATCTTGGTCTGTTTTGTAGCTAACCTCCCCTTTTTTCATTTCCTTTCCCTTTCTTTTTGGTAGGTCTTCATGTGTGAATATCATTCTAACCTCCTTTGGACCCCAAAGGTTCAGCCCCACCTCCCACCCCAGCTCCAGCCCCTTTCAACAGATCTCCCTCCTGATACTTCCCAGGTCTTCAAGAGCTTCATGTGGGGAACTTGCCATTAGCCTTGAGCAGCTTGCAGAAAGCAGCATTCAGCCTGTGCCCCCGTTCCGTGCTGACTCAAGTTCACACAGCTTTGGGAGCCTGTCTTCGGAAAATGGTAATAGGAAAATGGGAAAGGCCCAGGGTTGGGGGGAGAGGATGCTCAGCTTCATGTGGCACTGGGGGTCGTCAGACTAATCTCATTTCCTACTAGACTGGGTAATGCTGCAGATATACTTAGATTTTTTTTGAAAGGTATTTATCAGTCTCTCATGCTGTTGTTTTGCAAAAGGTGGAATGATATGGGCTAGACAATAGTAGATGATAGATGAATTCAGAACTCATTGAATGGCCAGACCCCAAGAGGAATAATTAGTAGTTTGATGTTTAAATATGGAATGGCCCAAGGATCTGTGCTTGGCTCTACACTCTTTAACATTTTTATCACAATAACCTGGATTCAGGTGGCACACTTGTCAGATTTGCAGATGAAACAAAGCTGGAAGAGATAGATAGCTGCCACATTGCGTGACAGTCAAGATTCAACAAAATCCTCATAGGCTAGAGCCAGATTTAGCAAGGTGAAATGTAATGCTGACAAAGGTAACCTTTGACACTTGGAGAAGACATAACCAGACAATGGTTTGAAAAGGCTCCTCTAGTGGATCTCTCCAGTCTTACTGTACTCCTAAAATACTTTCACTTGTAGGCAAACTGCTTCCAGATCACCCCTGTGATCTTTCACCTCCTTACCTTCGCATTATAGACTCTTGAGCTTCCTTCCAAATACAGCTCAGGTGCCCCTGCCTATAGGAGGCCTTTCCTGATTTTCCCCAGTTGTTAATGTGTGCCCGTCTGGAAACTATCATATTACTTCATATACATTTTATACTTGTTTTAAAAAAATACTACCATACATTATTCTCACAACAACCCTGTGAGGTAGGTGCTAGTATTATCTCCATTTTACTGATGAAAAAACTGAGGCAGACAGAGGTCAAATGACTTGCCCAGGCTCCCACAGATAATAAATACCTGAGATGGGATTTGAACTCAAGTCTTCCTAGCTGCAGGCCCAGTGTTCTGGCTACTGAACCCCTGCATATAGTTGTATCCCACCCAATAGAATATAAATTCCATCCCAGCAGGGACTCTCTTATTTTTGTAGGTCCACAGCACCTAACTCATTACCTTGCACATGGTGTTCATTTAATATATGTTTATTGAGTTATTAGCTCGGTACAGCTCAACAATGTGATGTGACATTGACCAAAAAGCAGATGCCAATGTTAGACCACAGTGAGAGATGCCTGGGGGCTAGGCCTTGGGAGGCAGTGCCACCTCCTGTTCTCAGGCCTAGTCAAAACACATCTGGGGCACCCTGTGCAGTTCTAAGGGCCACATTTTAGGAAGGACATTAATGAGCTAGAAGTATCCAGAGGATATAATATCCTGAGGAGGGCAGCTAGGGTGGGGAGAGCTTTGATTTCATGATCTCCAAAGAGAGGCTGAAGGATCTAAGCATGTGTAGCCTAGAGGAGAGAGGACTTATGTGTGACATGACAGCTGCCTTCAGATACTAAAGAGCTGTCATTTGGAAGAGGAAATAGAGTTGTTCTGTGTTTCCTAGGAGGCAGAATTAGAAGTACCTGGTGGAAGTTGCAGAAGCAGATTTGGGGCTTCAATAGAAGAAAAGACTTCCTCTCAATTGTAGTGGTCCATAAGTGGGATGGGCTGCTTAAGGAGGTTGTGAGTCCCCCATCATTGGAAGTATTCAAGCTAAAGATGGATGACCCAATGTTGAGCATGTTGTGGAGGGTATCCTTGTTCAGTTTTAGGTTGGGTGGACAAGTTGGCCTCTGAGGTCCTTTTTGGCAGAGATTCTGCAGGGACCCATATACTTAGGTGTAGGGGGACCGTGGAGTAGGAAGGCTTTCTGTGTGGGCTAGAATTCCTGGGAGAGGGGATTCAGTGAGTGACCTGGGGTCCTGTTTTCATGTCTTTTTCCTACCTTTCTCCTTCTCTATCCCAGGGCCATCCACAGAGGGCACTGCTGCATCTTCTCGAAGCTCTAAAGGCAGATCCGGGCCAAGGGCCCCCTCTCCTGGAGGCTGCCAGACTCTATCGACAGCTCGGCCACACTGCATCTGAACTGGAGAGCTTAAAGCTACTGGTGGAGGTATGCACATGGGCTTAAGGGTCCCTGCACAGGGAGCCCTGTAGCTCTTAGGGTTGGCAGGGAGCAGCATTTTAGGGAATAAGACAGGAATGCAATCCCAATCCATGGGATGGGCTGGTAGGGTCAGGCTCTTCTCGACCATCTACTGTTTCTTACAGGCTTTGAGTATCCCTCACAGTCCCAGGACACCCTTATTCTCTATTGGGGTAGAACTTCTGATCACTCCACCCAGTCCTGCCTCCTCTCTTTACTGTGGGACCCAGAGCCAGGTCAAGCACATGCTGGCAAGCAGGTGCCTCCAGACAGGCAGGTATTGGTGGATCCCTTTCCCTTTCCCTCTCCCTATCCCCAGCGCCAGTTAATAGGATCATTAGAGCTAAAATCAATCAGCACACATTTGTGAAGTGATCGTTGCAGGGTCAGGTGCTGTGCTAGGTGTTGGGGTACAAGATAAAGGGAATTCAGAGCTGTCTGGTCCAACCCCCTTATTTTGCAGGTGGGGAAACAGTGTCTGAAAGAGATTTGTTCAAGGTTAAACAGCAAGTTAGTGGTGGAAATGGGGCAAGTGCACAAGTCCATCCAGGAATTTTTGTTTTATGAGAGGCTGCCTCTCTCCACCCTACCTCTAGCATCTTCTCTTCCTGGCCCCTGTCTTCAGCCTGCCCCCAGCTCTGCCTTCTCACTTCATTGTCCTATGATCCTGCCCCACCCCAGTGTTAGCCCTGTTTCTCCAGTCTAAGGTGGTTAGAGATACAGACACCCACATTTGCTTTCTACACAATCAGGAACGGAAAATGATAGGCGTCTCTGTCTCTTTCCCCAGCTCTGTGGGTGGCACGGTGAAGAGAACACTAGGCCTGGAGTCAGGAAGGAAGACCTGAGTTAAAATCCAGACTTAGACTCCAGCTGAGTGACCCTGGGCAAATCACTTAACCTCTGTCTGCCTCAGTTTCCTCAGCTGTAAAATGGGAATAATAATAGCACCTACCTTCCAGGGTTTTGGCAACGATTAAATGAGATAGTATTTGTAAAGTACTTAGCATAGGGCCTGGCACATAGTAGGCTTTTAATAATTCTTGTTTCCTTCTCTCTTCTCCCCATTTACTTGACCTTTGTCTTTCTTGCTAACCACTGAACAGTTAAATGCCAAGAAACAAAATGTGAGCATTCCTTCCCCTAGTGCAGGGCAGTGACATAAAAATGGTGTCTAGGAGAAGAAAGAAGAGAAGTCATGGTCCTGAAAAATCCATATATTGGATAACAGCAGTCACTGAGACATTGGTGGTCAGGATCATTCCTGCCTGGAAGGGTAGTGGGAGGGACAGAGCTGGAGGAGGGAAAGGGTAGAGAGTCATCCATGTTGTGGATCCTTAGGAATGAGGAGGCCGTGGAGCAATATCTGGACCTGTTGGCCTTACTGCTGGATGGATCAATGTCACAGGTGTGTGTGGTAGGCAGGGTTGGGCGGAAGGATGGAGGGAGGGCTAGATGCTGGTTTTCCATCTGGATTATAGCAGAATAGCTCCATCTTCCTTTCATGAGGTTTGAATGATCTCTCAACCAGCTAGCCTACTATAGGTGGGCTGTACTAGGGTCTGGGGATAAAAATAATCAATAAACATTTATTAAGCACCTGCTATGTGCCAGGCACTATGCTAAGCACTGGATATGCTTAACCAGGCACTGTGCTCAGTGCTACAATGGATACAATGAATGATCCCTACTTAAAGGCTGAGGTAGGCTGAGTCTGGGAAAAGTTCCTGGAGGAGAGTGTTGAGAAGAGCTTAGAAGGAGTCCCTTAAGGCTTAGAAGGGAGTTATTAACCTCCAGACCTTTGTTCCTTAGGCCACAAGGCCTGGGTCAGAGGAGAGTCACAAGTGGTGATGGGTGTCTCTTCAGGGCATGCAGTGTTCTGTGTTCCTGTCTGGTGGTTCTCAAGCTCCTCGTGTACCCGAGGTCTTCTTGGAAACAGCAGCAGCACTGATTATTGTGGGTAGATTCCAAGATTCACTGACTGTCTGTGAAGAGCTGCTTAGCCGGATATCGCTTTTGGTTCCCCAGAAACTGTGGCTGGGTCAAGGGGGGCCTAGCCTTAGGCCTGTTCTATCCACAGTCCCACCTCTCTCTGAGAACCCCTCAGAGGATCTGTTCTGCCTGTTGTGGGCTTCAGCTGCCCACCTGCTTCAGGGTCAGGCCCATTCTGGGCTGGGGGCCCGGAAAGAAGCCCTGGAGGAATTTAGCAGGTGATGGGGAGAATATAGTGAATGGTGGGTGGAGGTGTATGTGGCAGGGTGTGACTTTTTACCAACATGGGATTCTTGGGACTCGGGGTAGAGGAGTCTGGCCCCATATGCTGTCTACTTCTTAGAACAGGAATCCTGAACCTGTGTCCATGGATAGATTTCAGGGGTCCATAAACTTGGGGGGGGGGTTACATCTTTATTTTCATTAATCTCTGCTTGAAAATTAGCATTTCCTTCAATTAAAAACACTATTCTGAGAAGAGATCCACCAATCTTCACTGGATTGCCATGGGGATCCATGACAAAAAACATACTATCTCATCCCTTTTAGGTGCCTTGAGTTACTCTTCCGGGTGCAGCCTCTGGACAGAGTTGTAGATCAAGGTGCAGGTGGAGATATAGACCAAGGTTTGAGTGGAGGTGAGCTCCAGTTTCTGGTTCTTTCCTCCTTTCCCACCACCTCTGGGTTTCCTGTGGCCCTCTCCAAGGGGACTTCTGATACTGTAGAGGGATGGGATGTCCTCCAGAGAGAGGCTTTGCTAGGATGGGCAGACACAGATGACCTGGGAACATGGACTCCAGAGTGATAGGGTATGGACATTGGGCTGCCCTGGGGACTTGCTGGCTGTGAGGCAGTTTGCCAACTTGGGGGGGTAGATGTTATCTCCAGCAGTGAAGATGAGCTCCCTTCAGAGATCTGCCTACATAGGAAGGTTCTTCAGAGGCTGAAAGCAGTGACATTAATTAGCCGAGGGCTGGAATGGGTAGCAGAAGGCCAGGATGCCCGGGCTCTACAGGATTTCCTCCTTGGTGTGCAGGTTTGCCCAGGTATGGATGGGTAGCATGAAGGTCTCACGTAGGTATATGTCTGTATAGGTATGTTTGGAGGGATGTATAGTAGTGCCTAACTGTGAAATTTATGCATTTACAAGTATGTATGCTGGCATATGAAATGTACATTTGTATAGACAGGCGTGTGGACGGTGCCTAGGTGTGCATTGCAAGTGTGATCACAAATATATATGTGTCGTGGATATGTTTCTCTCTGCCAGTTTGGGTGTAGGACTGGTGTCCTCTTATACCATCTGTTGTGGGCAGGGGTGGAGGTTCTGTAGTATATGATGGGGGAAGTCACCTGTGAGAATCTCTTTAAAGCTAATGAAGATTGGCTGGTATATGGGTAATGCAGGTGACCGAAATGCTTCCTTACATCTGCTGCGTGTCCTGTGGAGGCTAGAACGGAGGGAAGAGGCCGTTGCAACCTATCAGAGGCTAGAGGCCGAGGCAGACCAGGAACAGGGTGACTCTGAGGGGTGAGACAGAGGGCTAGCAGGTGGGCTGGTGGGGGGTGGACTGAGAGGGGACCAGCTTGCCCTTGTTTCTCTCTTATGCTCCTCTCCCTCTCTCTAGTCTTCTCCCCCAGTACTTAGAGTCCTGTATGAACCGGATTCAAATCACTGAGCAGGAGTCCCTCTTGCAAGAGCTTCGGAAATCACTGCAGAGGCCCACATGCCCTTAGTGGGCATTCAGTCCTGGCTTCCCAGGGATCTTCTCTATTTGGGCCTCTCGCTTAGTTCAGCCTAGGGGAGTGGCTGAGACTTCAGGAAGGTTGGAGAAAGCTATGTCCTTGGTCTCTTGGTTGGTCTTTTTGGTCATTCTCCTTCAACACTCAAAGGAGAAGGAAGAATAGGGTAAAGAGATAAGTAATCAGGGATCACTCTGTCCCCTTCCTGTCTGTCTAGGTGTCAGTCTTCTATCACTGTGTTTTTTGGTACTTTTCCTTTTTTCCAGTAAAATCTTCCATTGGTCTGTCTGTCCCTACTGTTGTCTTTGGCATATAAGTGCTGGTGTCTGGACACAGCCCTTTATCTGATTGATAGATTCTGATGATAATGGAAAGACAGTCCCTATTCTCCAAGGGATTTTCTCTTGGAAGTAGAGATTTCCCCTATCCTTTTTTCTTTTTTTTTTTTGGTGAGGCAATCAGGGTTAAGTGACTTGCCCAGGGTCACACAGCTAGTAAGTGTCAAGTGTCTGAAGCCACATTTGAACTCAGGTTGCCTGACTCTAAGGCCAGAGCTCAATCCACTGTGCCATCTGGCTGCCCCTAGATTTGCCCTATCCTTACCTGATTTCTTCCTTCACTTAGCTCTTGAGCAATAACACCCTTCAGTATTTACGTGTTTTTGTGGTGATCAGTCAGTCAATAAATAAAACATTTATTAAATGAATACTATGTGCCTGGCACTGTGCTATGGCTGGGGATACAAAAGGTAAAAGACAGTCCCTGCTCTCAAGGAGCCCGTAGTAATGGGTAAGACAACATGTAAACAACCATGTACAGACTATCCAGGATATATTGGCTATGTACAAGATATGAATTTGGGCTTTTTTTTTTTTGGCTAGGCAATGGGGTTAAGTGACTTGTCCAGGGTCACACAGCTCATAAGTGTTATGTGTCTGAGGCTGGATTTGAACTCAGGTCCTCCTGAATCTGGGGGGGGGGTGTCTATCCACTGTACCACCTAGCTGCCGAATTTGGCCTTTCTTGAGAGACACTTAATGACCTGAAAGGTCAATGATGACTTGTGAGGTCATGTGCTTTCCTTTCTGTTCTTATTGGAGACAGTATCAGAAAAACAAACTTTGTCTTTATGCCACTCCGATCTGTCTCTTGTCTTAAGAGCCCTGAGGTAGACCCTAGAGCAACCTATAAAAAGGAGACATGGTCCCTGTCCCCAAAATAAACCAGACTAATGGATGAGACACAAATCAGAATAGAAGGAAACCCAGTGACCAATAATAATCATAGTTTACGTTTATATAATGCATAGATGTTTGCAAAGTGCTTTCCTCACAACCGTGTGAGGCAGATAGTGTATTATCTCCTTTACTGATGAAGAAACTGAGCCTCTGAAAGTGTGGGACTTCCCTATGCCATGTAGCTGGTAAAATTCTGAACCCATCTCCAGACTCCAAATCTGGTACCTTTTCTATTTCACTACACTTCCTTAAAATCAGAAGCTACGGCCATCAGCTCTGAGACAAATCCAATCTAGAACTGAAAGCAGGGGTCAGCTGGGGATTTCCTGGGAGAAGGGAGTATGAATGAGAGGGAAGCATGCTTGCCAGGGCAGAGGAGAAAATTCAGGTGGTGAAATCCTGGGAGAGGGGTAGCGCTTTAGAAAGGCTACCCTTTCTTCTCCCATTCTTGGAACAGAAGTAAAGTATTAGGACCTAGGTTCAAAAGTGGAATGAGTCTTGGGGCCACGGACTGCAAGTCCCAGCATGCAGTGTTCTGGAGAAGTAAGGGACATGCAGTGTATGCTGGGATATGTAGTCTTTGGCTATCATTCTCCGAGAAACGGTTGGACTGGGAAGTGAGAAGACGATGACCTAATTAAAGCCATAGGAAAATGCACACTGGAAGGGATGAGGTGAGATGGAGGTAGAAGTTGTGGAGTCCAAGGCAGATCAGCGAGACAGGGGACTTAGGGATTGGTCAGGGTTTGAGTGACGCAAAGGTTAAAGGATATGTGGGCTTCTGGGTGACAACCTATAGCAATGAAATCACTGAGAGGCCTGGAGTGACAGGTTTTTGGACAAAATCGGATTGGAATGATAGGATTGAAGATTAGGACACAGGGTTAGAGGGTGACTGAAAATTTTGCAGAGAAAGCGAAGGCGGTTAGAGTGGTGGGATTTGGAGGTGACTGGAAAGTGAGTGGGGATTGGGATGGATGACAGGAATAAGATGGATTGAAGTGTGAGTCGATAGCCGGAATAGGGGAGGCTAGAGGACCCAAGCCATTGTGCTAACGTCGGCTGGGAACACTGGAGCGCTAACCCTCGGAGCCAATGAACATGGGCCAAGTGGGAGAGTCCACTTCAGAGAAAGCGAGCTCCCTCCTCTCGTCTGTCCATCTGACGCCGTTCTTCCTATTAATTGGGCTGCGCTTCCTAGTCCACCGAGGAAGCGTAGCGCCGTAGCCAATGAACATTGCGTTACCAGGCGTGTTGCACCCCGGGGGCGGGCGCGGATCTACAGATGAATTTTCTGATTGGTCGGTCATAGTGGGTTGCCGGGGAGAGGAACGGAGGGGAGGGAGGGGGCCAGCAGCGCGGGTGCTGATTGGCTGTGCTGTGTGCTTCTCCCCTTCCGATGATTCGGCTCTTCTCGGCTCAGTCTCCCTGAAGCGCCCGCAGCCGCTGAGGTAGTCGCCAGCGCTTCCTTCTCCCGAAACCGGAGCCCTCCCCACCCGCCCTCCCCACCGCCGCCTCCGTGGGAAGAGCGAGAGGGAGCCCACCCGGAGGAACCGCCACCGTCCGCCTGGGAGAGCCGAGCCCAGCCGGGCCCAGCCGCCCGCCGCCAGCCCCTCGTAGCCGTTACCCGCGCGCCGCCGGCCGGGAGACAGGCGCGCGCCATGGCCTCGGGAGCCGAGTAAGTGTCTCCCCTGCGCGTCCCCTCCCCCCACGGGGGCGCGCACGGGCCCCGGGCCCCGGGCCTCGGGCGGGTGGCCGAGCTGGGTAGGCCCCGGCCCCGGTCGCAGTTCATGCTGGGGATGGGCCGCAGGCCAGGCGGGCCACCTCTCTTCAGCGCGCGTCCTCGAGCCCGGCCCGGCGGGCACGCGGCGCTGGGAGCCCCGGGCCCAGGCCAGATCCCGATCCTGCTGTGTCATGCAGGCCCCGGCGTCTCCCGCGGGAGCAGTGGGCGGGGGGAAGGGCCCGGCCCCGCTGGGCCTAGTCTGGCCCTCGGGCCGCCGCCGCCTGAGAGGAGCGTTGGGCCCAGGACACCTGCCCTGCGCTCGTCTTTTGGGAGAGCCGCGGCGATGGAGGGGGGAGGAGGCGGGGGAGGATGGGGAGGCGGGCACGGGCGCCGGGGCTTTCCTCGGCTGGAGTAGGTGGTTCCTCCAGGGCCCCGGCCTGTGCCGATGCCGGGCCCAGTGCCGCCGGCTTGGGGGGGACAGGCCACGTGAGGACTGGGGCTCTCGGGCCGGATCCTGGTTGAGCAGTAGGAACCAGCCAGTTTTGGGAAATTAAGTCGGCCGGGCCAAGGCGATAATTGAGGGCGGGGTGGACCCGGGACTTGACTGACTAGTGAGATTTATTAACTCCTTTGGGGAACACACGCCTTGGTGCAGGGCCGGTGAAGAGGTGTCGTGGGGTTATGGGGAAGAACCACTCTCTACCTCTGGCTAAAGCTTGGCATTTTGGTGCTAACATCATTTCCGGAATTTTGATGGAAGGTAGGTTTGCTGCTTTTTGGGAGGCGGGGAGAGCAAATCGATTGGGGTGGGGCACTGGTTTGGCCCCTTTAAATGGCCTACTTCATTGCTTCTTGTTATGCAGATGAGAAATCTGATTTCCTTTTCTCTAGGAGCTCCCGAGATTAGAGATTATTCCTTTACTTTTTTCTCCCCTGTGTTGTCTGTTGATGGTTTCAATATTTAGATTTTTTTACCGGTTGGTCCTTTACTGGCTGTCTTTGAATTCAGACTTGAACTGGAGTTGGGGACCTACTAGAGCTGCCAGCTTTGTTGGTTGGAGTGCTCAGGGCACACGGCCCTTGAGGTAGTAGGTTCCTAATGGTGAGGAAGGTAAACCCAGAAAGGTCATTCTTTGAATATCCAGAACCTTCTTAGCCCAAAGCTTAGAGTGTTGAAAGTTTGAAATAAATTATAGGCTCCCAGGGTCAAAAGGCAATATTTTCCTTCACTGCTTCCAAGACCAAGCATATCAGTGTTTTCCAGCGTTGGGACTATTTTTAATACTACCTAACATTTATGTAGTCCTTTAAGGTTTGCAGAGTGCTTTTTGTCTTGTTTTATATCTCTAGCATCTAGTACAGTGTCTTGCACATAGTGTGCCATTAGTAAATGCTCGTTGACTTGATGTGCGAATACATCTAATTTGATGCTCACAACAACCCGAGAAAGGGGAAATGCTATTATTCTCCTTTCATCCATTAGGAAATAGTTCAGAATTTAAATTTGTGTTCTCCTGACTCAAGTCAAATATTCTCTACTGTAACTCCTTATATTTACCGCAGTTTTTCTATTCAGTGCCTTTTCTCCCTGAAGTAAGGTATAATTTAGTAGTACTGCTTAATCATTGTAGTAGTTTTGTATTAAATACCTTTGTAAGGCTACCCTCTCAGCATTTTCTTTATCATGCTAGAGAACTTGTTAACTTTTTAAATAGACTTTTGGTTTTTAAATCTTGTTACTCTTTAGAACCCTCCTCATATTTATGGCTTGTATCTCAGAGTTCTCTTTGGTCCTCTGAAGTCATAGAGCCCAGAGTGTGGACCCAGGATTACTCTGGTTAGGGTCTGAGTCAAGCTGAGTCTGATGGAAGATGACACCGCATGGTAAAGGTCAGGGGACATGAGTTCAAAATCTTGCTAATGCTTACTACTTGTGTAACCTTGGGCAAGTCATTTAGCTTCTCCAGGCTTTAGATTCCACATCTGTAGAAGAGGATTCAACTGGATGACCATAGACCTCGGATCCTGTGTTCTAAAGAGCTTTCAGGAGTTAGCATACCTCTTGACCTGCTGGCTCAGTTAACCTAATTTTCTTACATTCTGAGGGAGAGTCAGACTGTCCTTGGGGGAGCTAGTCTTATAGCTGGGTTATTGGTAGCTTACAGCACAAACTTGCCTTAATGGCATTTTTTGCATTTTGTTCATTCCCTTTGCCCCTTTATGCTGCTACTTTCTGCTTGCATTGGTAAGGCAACAAGATGGCTGTACCTTAGAGACAATTCACTTCTAGTCCCTATTGTGGGAGGGGCAGGTTGTTGGGCAGGCTGGGAAAGAGGGCCCTGATGGCTTAGTGCCTGCTAAGCTTTCACTACTCTGAACTGGCACTTAAGTCCTGCTTGGCAATAGGCATGCTGATCCTTTATCATTATCATTATTTTCTTTTCTGGCTTTGACGTATATTCACATTAGTTGCACAGGTGGTTTTTTCAGCTGATGGAAATGGTAGTGTTGGGTGCTGGTTGGAAGTCCTGTGTTTTAT